TACCCCACCAGACTCGTGCAATGCTACGTAGACAATGTAGTTTTTAATGTTACCTTTAAGGTGATAAGCCTGTTATTATTCGAAAGATGCGGAAAATTCCAGTTGTAAGCATAGCATCTCTCCGGTTTTAACTGCTGTTTTGATCAAATTTCTCGCAAGTCGTAGCCCACCAGTTACAAACCTTTTTGCTTATTCTGTTCCCATTCAAGGACATGTAATGCATTGCGCAACGTCGACTGGTTTTAGTATAGTTACCCGTCAAGTCTTGTCGTTCGTGTGCTTGAACCCCACCTCTGTCACCCTACTTTCCTATTTGTTGTTTGCTTTTCTTCGACTGGTTTTTAACTTTTTTCGCATTTTCGTCTCGAAGAATTAACGACCTCCAAAGGAGTGAAACTCACACCCAAGACCATCAAGGGTGCCCGGTGCCTCCAAACAATAGGCTAATCCAAGCTTGATACTCTCAAGGTAAAGAGATTATTATCATTATGATTACTGTTATATTTTCTTCATCCATTCCAGAAATGATATCCGCAATCATCATTTTTAGTACGTACTTATTATTTGATCATTGTCTCCCATTTAAAAAAAATCAGTGTCCGTCTGGTTCGAACACCAAATAAAAATTTCGGGCTTTACATTCGCAACGGGATCAGTGAACATCACACGGTCAATGGGTACGAAAGCGTTCCAGCCTTTTTCGTATCCCGTCTCGATCGGGATGGAATTGCCTACGGTACTGGTTTGCTGGCCGAGGATGATGAAATTATCGAAGTGAATGGAATCGAGGTGTACGGGAAAACCATGGATCAAGTCACGGATATGATGGTGGCTAACAGCTCCAATCTGATTATTACGGTACGTCCGGCTGATCAGACCAATTGTCTGCCACCGACAAATCAATCCCGGAATCGTCATGCAGATCGAACCCATCTCCGCCCCGGTGGTACAACTACCCTGCCGCCTCCGGTTACCGATCAACGAACCCCGTCCTTGCTTCATTTGGCCAACGGGCAGAGTAGTACCCTGATGCCAAACGACCCATACGGTTCCTCGGGTCATCGAGCAATGCACAAAGAACCTCCAGGCCGGATAGCAACCGTTTCCCATGCCGGCACTGGGATATTGGTGGACGATTATGATAACGAGGAGACAGATGAAGATATCAATGCTGGCCTAATTACGCTCTAGCACTTGACCATTGTGCTCCTCATTTACTCAACATTCGCATCATTTAATCAATCACTCAACCACTCAACGGGAAACCGCGATGCAACCGTGTTTTCTCTGGTCTTCATTTTTGATCATACAGTTCCGTTTAAACGGAAAATCCTTCAACACCAGGCTGCTGTCACCGCCGCCGACGTTTGACACGTCCGATTCAGGCAGATCACATAGACAAAATTTTATTTGGTGCCTTTTTTACCACATTCCACCGTTTTGCTTTATCTCTCTTTGACTTTTCTGGTTTTTTGTCGCTCAAATCATTCCAAACAATCCTTTTTGTCATTCAAGACACTAAAAACAAATTAAACCATCATTCACATGTGTGCCACTTGGTATTCGGGATTTCTCTCTGACCTGTGACTACTGTGCGGTTTGCATTATTCTGTCCTCCTCATCATCATCACCTAACCCAGTGATCAGGACTTTTTCTTTGGTCGCTTCATTTGTAACACGACATATCAAATCGGTCGCCGATTCACTTTGTGCTCTAATCGGTGACTTGCTTGCCCAGTGCCTGTATGAAGTCGCCCGCCTCCCACCCACCCCACTCCATACCTGTGTTGTATTGATTCATATCCTCATTCTGCCATCGATATTCGTGGATGTTTCCATTCTGTTGTGTTTTGTGCTACCCCACTCCCCTCTTACCTCGGAGTCGAACGGGGACGGGGTGGTGGTGGGGGAAGTGAATTGTTTCGACTGAGCAACAATACGCTTTTTGCCTTACAGCTATAAATACAACAACAGCAGCAGCAAGAAAACCATAATCGTCACTACTATCATTACCACTTCTGCGATTATATATTTCGCATCCTACTTTCGTTATTTGAATTCTTTTCCCACCCCCACTCGAAAGTGGTCTTACGATTTCTATCTGGTTGTTTTTGTCAGACAATTGGTCTCTCTATCCATCAACTACTCGTATTCGTATAAACTACTAAAATGAACTCTATCTTTTATTGTTCTTATCTGATGGAAGAAACGTGGGCTTTGAAATTGTCATCATGCTGGCCAGATATTTTCGCTTAAGGTCTCATTCGGTCGACTGTGATGAATTCTAAGAAAAACCGATCGTGGTAAGTAAGTCGGATGGGTGATTCGAATGTGATAAGATCAGTGCTATTAGTCTGGCTTCGTAGTGCCGCTGGTGGGACGTGCGCTGTAAAAAACCGTTCATGCGTGGGGTCGAATGCTATCGCGGTTACTGAACTTTTCACAATTTCAACAAAATCACATAGGTAGATTGCATTTTAGATATGCTTGTGGTGTCGACTTGACTGTCCGCGTAGCAATCACGTCATGTCTGAGTTTGCCTAACTAAAATAATTCGTCTTCATGCAGCGCACATCCGGACAGGTTCTACCAAACGACAGCCAGGGTGCATGATAAAAAGGGT